CCCCAAAACCCCAAAACCCCAAAACCCCAAAACCCCAAAGGTTAATGTAATCATTGTAATATTAAATATGGAGATTGCTGACGAAATAAAGTGTTGAGTGTGCTTTGAAATTCAGCTTAAGCTAGCTCAAACAGATTGTTGCACTAGTATTATTTGCTATGACTGCTTGTTCCTATTTAAGAGGCAAGCTCAACGGAAGAAGAAATAAGTCAAAGCTATGATGTCCAATGTGCAGGAAGACACCTCTGGTGGCAAGAAAATGAAAATTTGCAATGAAGCTTGTCAAAAATTGTATTAAAACCTGCCAATTCTGTAATGAATACCAGAGCATCCTTTCAGATGTGGATAAGCATCAGAGAGATTGAGAGAAAAACCCTAACAAGCACGAGGCGCTTACTCTGAATGATGCAGACGACGAAAACAAATTTCTCTCGAATTTTGGAAATGATATAAATGATAGCAACAATTTTGATGAGAAAGAAGAGCACAAGGATGATGAAAGTGAGGAATCTGAATCAGAAGAATCTGAAGACCTTAAGGCTCCTAAGAAGGAGCTTGAAGCTCCAGCTACCGAATACACCAATGGTGACTCTGATGAAGAGGAAGAGGAGGAAGAAGAGAAAGAATATCATGAAGAGCATAATCCAGCTGAAATGCGAACGACCAAGGTTGAGGTACTACAAAAATCATCCCAAAATTCGTTGCCAAGAGGCTCAGAAGCAGTTGATTTGATAGATGATAGTCTGAGAATTCTTCCTCATTTCCACAAGCATGATTTGCACAAGATGAGTGTGTATGATAAACCAAGCTACTGGATATGAGGAGGGTATTTCACAGAGATTGGATGCCTTAATACATTTAATTGTCAATTCAAAAACATTGATTATGAGTTCCCTCATTACCAATGCCATGATTGTGAATTTCAAGTATGCCTAGAATGAGCTGATTACTACTCTCAGAGTCCCAACAAGGTAAAGTTCATACACAGGACATACAACCCGGTGTTCCACCAGCATCCAGTGAAGCTTGATCTTGGATCTGAAACAAAAAGTTGGGTTTGAAGTGGAATGAACCTCCCTAACAAATGCCTCAGTACTACAAATGATAAGCCACTTACAGATAAAAAATAGATGGAAATGACCTACCTGCAAAGTTATGCTGTGCTACAAATGTATTAAAAGAAGCGATATAGAAGATTCAGCTACTTGAGCATCCATACATCAGCACCAATTATTCAAAGGAAAGTTCGATAAATTTTTCCTCGAAGAAGAGATTATTGTATGCGATGCAGGAAATATCTTTTTGGGAACTCATCACGAGATTAATCATGATCACCACGTCCTAAGATGTGCACTTTGAAACTTTAATTGATGTCAGGAATGATACAATATTTTATCTGAAAGTTTCCAAGAGGAATCGAAGGTGGGGCTAGAATCTGAAATGATCAACGAGAGTATTGCGAGTTTAAAGAGTGACCAAGTAGTTTACATTAAGACCCATCCGCATCCCTTATTCCAAGTGATTGACAGCAGTCTTCTTTGTGATCATGTCCAGACTGGAAGATGCAAATCTCTTGAAAATAACTTAGAAATGTCCAAACCTGCTTATCTAAAATGAGTGAAGACAAACTGAAAGTTCCAGTTATGAGCACTTTGAGCCAGTTCCGATTTTAAGAAGGTGAAATCTGTAAAGAAAGGAGGGACCTGTCATATATTTTAGTACCTCAAAATGTCCGAAAAACAATAATTCCGTACAAATTAGGGGTTTTGGGGTTTTGGGGTTTTGGGGTTTTGGGGTTTTGGGGTTTTGGGG